GGCTAAGTAGAAGCCAGGTGCTGCTAATTAAATGCACTTGATTAATTGATCATCGGCAAGTGTGACCACCTCTATCACAGCTAAAGTTTTAGCAGTTTGCTGGTCTGGAGTATTCAGGTGTGGGGTAACACAATGCAATTGTTCCTGCCCATCAATCTGGGATGGGTTATAAGGCTATTTCCAAACAATTTAAAGTCCATCATTCTAAAGTGAAGATTATTCACAAGTGAAAAACATTGAGGACAGTTGCCAATCTTCCCAGAAGTAGACGTCCCAGCAAATTCACCTCAAGGTCAGACCATGCCATGCTTAGAGAAATTGCAAAAAAAAAACCACGAGTTACATCTCAGACTCTACAAGCCTCAGTTAGCATGTTAAATGTTAAAGTTCATGAAGGAACAATTAGAAAAAGACTAAACAAGTATAAAAGTTTGTTTGAAAGGGTTGCCAGGGGAAAATCCCTTCTCTCTGAAATAAAACATGGCAGCACAGTTTAGGTTTTCAAAGTTGCATTTGAACAAATGACAAGACTTCTGGAATAATGTCCTTTGGACAGACGAGACCAAAGTGGAGATGTTTGACCACATTGACAAAAGTAGCCACACTCCAGAAGGAAGGACAATGTAAGCGAAAATACAAAGATGATTGAAGGATCTACAGCCGAGTGATACACAAATCAGATACATTTTTGTCCATAGTTCAGGTACTTGAATACATTTTTAAGATTTAACTCCTGAGTTTAGTGTCACTTTAAGCAAATAGTTGGTGGTGTAATAGTGACATCTAGTGAGGGCCCAGCTTATCTACACTAAGTGGCAGTATAAAAATGCTCTGTGCAGTTTATTTTACTATTTTTGTCATAATATGGCAGCGGTTGAAATAATACAGGAAAATATATTTTTAACTTTATTGTCAGTTTGTGAAGATTTGTTTTTAAATATTTTCAACAGAAGAAAGTTGGATTAGTTACAGTTTAATATATATTTTTAGTGCATTTATTCTCAGTGAAGGGAATCCAGCACCCTTAGTTTTTGACACTGTCTCTCTATACCCTATGCTAAACATGCAACACTTCTGGGTGTGTTGGCTAGTGCGTCCCTCACTAGCCATTGTGGTTTCTTCTACTGACCCATACACCACTACAGGATACAGTAGGGACATGGTGGGAGATGGCGGGAAAAAACAGGGTGATCAGCGGAGGATTTGCTATTCGACACCCCTAAAGTGTAAGATAGTAGTGGTACCTGAAGCTCTCCAAAAGAAAGAAAAGACCACCCCCAGGTAAGGTTTTGGTTTTTGTTAGATGGGATAATCAATCGAATGGTCTCCTATACATCTCCATGCTTCTATTTGAGATATTTGCACTTGAGTTCCTGGATGTAAACTTCTGCTGTGGCTATTATGTTGGGGATGTTTTATGTTATGGAGACCAAACCAGAATATGCAGAAGAACCAAAACTCCCAGGGGGAACTATTTTAGGGAGATTTCCTTGAGTATCTGAGACATGTAAGATGCCAGAGCCTAATTAGACCCATCAGGCTATACTTTGAACAATAATATCACTTTATATTTTACAGTACAAAAAAAAGTACTTCTAATCTGATAATCTTAAATTGTGTATTGAGTATTTTCTTAATGCTCAACAGGTTTGCTCTAATATTTAAAGGGTTATTCACAAAGCTGCTGAAGGCAGCCGAATGAATAACCCAGCCGAAATGAAGTGAAGTCAGCCGTACATCAGCTGCCTGCGGTTGCACTTCGCTCAGCCGAACATGCTCTGCATGTTCGGCTGGCCGAAGTGCAGAAGGAGTTCGACTCAGCCGAGCCAACCCCTTGATTGGCTGAGCCGAAGCTCCGGCAGCTCACTCGCCGCCGTTCACCCCTATTCACATAGGGGCAGAACGGCAGTGAGTAAATAGCCAAATGTCGCCGAGCGGCATACGGCTAGGCTATTCTGCTCAGTACCTTTGTGGTACCGAGCAGAATACAAATAGTGAAAAAAGTAGAAAAAAAAATTAAAAATGTAAATAAATAATAAAATTAAAAAAATGAATAAAGATTTTTTACAAAGGAAAAAAAAACATTTGGCCAGAGCTAGCAGTAACAGCTAGCTCCGCCCAACTGTTTCCTATTGCCCGCCACCTGCAAGAGTCTTCTAGCAGGTCCCAGCCAATGAATAATGACTGGATGGAGCCAGCCGTGACGTCACGACCGGCTCCGCCCAGTTGTCATTGTTTACATTGACAGATCAGCATCCCCAGGTCATTTGTGAATAGACCCCTTATTGTTTCTCTGTGAAAGGACAAAGGTTATCTACTCTGTAAGAAAATGTTCTCCAGTTTGTTGTAGGCATAGTATCCTCATAAGCCCACTATATTCTGTTGCTGCAAAAGTATAATGGCTGCAGCATACTTCTCTTCTCATGTTGCAATTATTCTTGAGATCCCTTAGTGACCAGTGTGTACCAGTATCCCCATCCAAAATGTACCAGAGTAGGCAGTGTAAACATTTACTACTGCCCAATTTAGGCCAAGGAAGGGGAGAGGAGTTTGTTCATTTTCAGCATTTATAGAACAATTATGACAATCAGTTATCCATTGTGGGAGTATTAAAAAGGCAGAACGCTTGTGCCACTTGAAGCACCTCTGCCTTTCCTTCACTTCATGATAGAGAAAATACAAGTGAAAACTGTAGCACTAACCCCCTAAGAAACTGTAGCTGGTGATCTGATTTATTGCTGCCCCAAACACATACTCACCAGCAGCTACCAAATGACTGACATCCATGCTGTGAATCTTTGCTTGCAGGTTTTATTGGCTCAGTGTCCAGGAAAGAGAGGGATAGGGTTTGCAAGATACCCAAACAGCAACATAAATCCGCTCAAATAAAGAAAGAACTACAGCCCATGTCATGGTCCAAGGGTGTACCTTTAAGCTGAGACCAGCGATTCTGCAAAGTGTACCTTTAAGCTGAGACCAGTAATTGATTGAGCAAGCATTTTGAAGGTGCTCCCCCATTCTAACCTCCTTCCTATCTTGCAAGCATAAGCCCATTTCCTGGAACTAGATTTTAGAGCTAATGTGGGCTCCCCAGGCAGCAAGCCAGAGAGGCAAAAAGGCTCCTTACAGTGGACCCACTCTCCAGGCAAAGCCTTTGCGGTAAAGACCCTTTTACAATGGCTCCCCACATATTTATATCCTTCCCCAGCTCACATCACTGTCCTAAACCTCCTAGTGATAAAGTTGTGTAAAAAAAAGTTTAAAAAAGTAAAGTGATATATAAAAAAAGGTTTTGATGGACAATTTTACACTGCTGTATCATCTGCGTCTCCTTATTCTTGTAGTAAAACAGCTAGCTGTGCTCTTTGTCTTTGGTTTCATACACATGCACACACCAGCTCAAACATAAATGCATACACGCAATAGGTTTGACTTGATGGAATTATGTCTTTATTCAACCTCAAATACTATGTAAATTTGCTGTCAATATTGCTAACTAAAATCTTCCTGATGATAGCCAGTTCTACAGCACCGTGACACCTGTGGTCCCTTAATTCTTTTAGTAGAACTCCTACCTGTTCACTTTGTCTCTAGAAAAACTGGGCCTAAAATTGCTTTTTAAATAGGTCCTGCAGTAGCCCAATGCTATATCATATGTGGTCTCTCAATCCATAATAAGATTTTGATTGAAACTTCCCAGACATAGATTACATCGCCTGACATCATGATTGATGCTGGATTACATATTGGGGCATTGGAATTGGCCCTCAACATTGGTACAAGAGTGCTTTGCAAGGTGGGAGTGCCTTTTCTGCCCCCCGCCTTGAAAGGAACCCTCCAATGTTGAAAGGCATGTGACCTTGTCTGGTACAAGACAAGGTTATTTTCCCTCCCTTTACTGGCCACCCAGACTGTATGTCTGTATAAGGGACTGGGTGGAATTTTAAGGGGAACTCCACAACTTTTTTTTCCAATGTATTTTTAATTAATTTTGTCCCTAAAAATTGTACTGATCTGTATCCTCACGTGCAGCTTTTAGGCATGTTATTTAAAGGATGTGTGTTTTTCAATGTTGCCCACATATGAAGAACCTCTGGCACTGTATGTTTTTTTTTTTTTTTGCATTGGTACATGCAACAGTAGTGCCGAGCTCCCCAATGCCCTTTTTTCAATAGTAGCTCACCACCTAGCTTTGAAAATGACAAGAAAACACAACATGATTTACCTCCCATAGCCTTCAATTGGGTTCGACACTATGCTCATACATCACGCTGGGTTCACTAAACCACGCACAAGTTAAACTGGAGCAGATTCACTCATTCCTACCAATCAACAGGGTGGCTGAGTTTTTGTGATTAAAGTGCTTTAGCTCTGGCTCAGCAGGGTGCCGTCAGGTGTCTGCAGAGAGAGACCACTGCTTACACACACACAGTAAGGGTCCTTTTCTATGGCATGTTTGCAGGGGACAGGTCTTTATGCTCAGGCCGTAGCCGCATTGTCAAGAATAAGCTGTAAGACTTTGAACACCTTGATTTGATGCACCTGGAATTTATTTAGCTGATTTGAATGAAGAGTAAAGCTGGCCATACATTGCTCTATTTTTTTCATTCAACCCACAGGCCTCCATCAATGTTACTAGCGCATTGCTGTTTGTTTTTTATTCTTACAGCGGCCACCAGCCCCTGTCAGAATATCCAAACAGAGCAAGCAGCTCAGTGACTGCCAGTTCTGTTTGTGCGAACATTTTCCAACTGGCTCCTTTGATCAGCTGATTGAGGGATGCCTGCTAACATGACGCTGACAGCACCACCCACTGTGTGCATTTCGGCTCTTCAACAACTGGCCAAAATTCGCTCAGTGTATGACCACCTTTAATTCAGGCTCCAATTCACACATCCACTGTTTAGACACTGTAGTCTTACCTATACAATACTGCAGTGCCTTGAAAAGCTAAACATTCTTCTCAGTTTTCTGGATCTTACAGGAATTTATAGTCATAACTATATATCCAAATCTAAGTTTCCTGTTTTACAATGTAGCGTTATCGCTTTTTGAAAGGACTCTTTAAATTGTTTGTTCTTTAAGGTATATATAAGAGGGTTAGCAAGTGGGATCAGTATGATATAAAGAAGAGAGAACAATTTGTCCTCAGTTGGAAAATATGTTGACATGGGTCTAACGTGAAGCGACAAAGAGGTTCCATAAAATATAAGAACAGAAGTCAAGTGGGATGCACATGTAAAAAATGCTTTACGTCTTCCATCTGCTGACTGGATATTTACAATAGTGTAAATAATCAACACATAGGAGGACAATGTGAGTGTGAATGCAATCAAGCCTACAATGGCTCCTAGTACATATGTTGCAATCTCAATATGTAAAGTGTCACTGCAGGAAAGTTTTAACAAAGGGGAAATGTCACAGAAAAAATGGTTGATTTGATGGGATGAACAAAATGACAAATTTGCTATAAAAACACAATGTATTACCGGCTCCAAAGCTGCAGCAGTCCAGACAGCAACCAAAAATAATGTACAATGTTTGAGATTCATGAGTAAAGGATAATGAAGCGGTTGACAGATTGCCACATATCGGTCATACGCCATAACAGCCAAAAGAAGGAACTCAGTACAAGTGAAGAAGATGAAGAAATACAACTGAGTCATGCATTCTTGAAATGTTATGGTCTTCTGCTGACTGTAAAGCATTGACACAAGCTTCGGCAGAATGTTCGAAGTTGAACAAATGTCAACAGTTGATAAATTGCCCAGGAAGATATACATTGGAGTATGTAAATGAGAGTCCAGAATAATACACGTGAATACTATAATGTTCCCTAGTAAAATGTTCAGATAAATTATCAAAAATGTTAAAAAGAGAGGAATCTCATTTTTGTAAATGTCTGAAAAACATTGAATGTTGAAACCTGTAAACTTAGATTTTAAAGTCTCATTTAACATCTCCATGTCAGGACAGATAGGTTCTACGTGATATTTGATGATGGCGCTCAAAATAATTCTGTTTGAGAATCTGAGTTTCTTGTCACCAATAACAATGTAAATTCTGTTGCTATTGTGTAGGTACCTGAAGTACAAAGTAAATGCTTTACTATTTCAAACTCTTCATAAAAGGCTTGGTCAGGTTTTCTGTGAAGCAAGGATACAATAAAATAGAATATGTCTGTGAAGGTTCTCATTCATCCAGGTCATGGTATATCAGCTTAGCCTGCAGAATAATTTTACTACTTTCTGTACCCTGAATGTAGACAAAAATGATCATCATCAAAATGCATATCTTCAGTTTGTGCTATAACAGTGTTATACATTTACTCCATGGTATATTCCATTTTTTTTAAAGAAATACCCTTCTTGGGTTAGGTAACGCATCATGTGCATTTTAGGACCAGACACTGGGAAAGACAAGAAAAAAGTGTGAGTACCATCTGTTGACACATATTAATAGAAAATAGCTGGAGATAAGGAAGAAAGTGCTAAGAGAAGTGGTACCTGCACAGAAGTGCCATCAGACATTGACTTACTGCATTCCCTGAACACAGTTGACCTCAGCTCTGTTTTTTTATTATTCTTGTCTGTGGAGTTCTGCTTGTTTTAGAGCTGCAGCTAACGATTATTTTCAAAATCAATTAGTTAGCTGGTCTGGCAACGGCGAGCGTGAGGTGGGGAAGAGGTGCGGCGCGCAGCGTGTGTGGAGCCGTGAACAGGGCCAACTGATCGGAAGCCGATTAATCGATTATTGAAAAAGTTGACAACTTTTTCAATAATCGATTATAATTGATTATGTCGATTAGTTGTTGCAGCCCTAGCTTGTTTGCCCTGCTGTTCCATGCCACATGTCTACAAAACAGAACACTGTAACTGCCCTGCTCTTACTGGCCTTGCATGGTATCTAGTTTAAAGCAAGTTAGACATGTGCACCAGCAAAAAAATTGTTTAGTTTTGTTTTGTTTCGGATTTTGCGTTATTTTGTTTTTTTGGGATTCGGGTCCGAAAGTCAATTTGTTTCGGGATTGGGATTAGGACGAAATTCGTTAGCCGTGGTCTGTACGAATTTTCGTTTCCGTTTTGTGTTTGTTTTGTTGCAGCAAAGAAACATTTCAAAAATACGTACAGACTACCGCTAATGAATTTCGTCCGAAATTTAGTTTTCGGAAATTCGGATTCCTTTTCATTCGTCATTTCTGTTATTCGGAAATTCGGATATGTCCGAACCTCCGAATAACGAAAATTTGTCTGAATTTTTTTTTTCTGAAACGAATCGCACATGTCTAAAGCAAATGTATATAATAAAATAGTAATATAGTAGTATATAAACAGTTATTTTATACATATGTTTATAGTTAAATTTTTTTACTGAGGCATTATAGAAGAACTCCGGGGAAAAATTGTATTAACCGTTGCAGTGGGGCTACTGCATGGGTAAGTGCTCATTTTGCCTAGGGTCAAAAATAAAACAAAAAGTTATACTAACCCAACCCTCTGAGCCAGCTTGCACTTAGAACGGTCCCTGGAAACCCTCTACCCTTCCGCTGAATAGGTCTATGGTCCCTGAGTTATCATGTTTTATACACAGTGTATAGGATGTGAGGATGCTGAGGGACATACCATTGCGGAGGAGACAGGCTGGAGGGAGCACTGTCACAGCCAGCTAACTCGGAGGATTGGGTGAGTATAACTGTTTTTTGGACCCCAGGCAAAAACAAGTAGGGTAACCCCACTGCAAGGTTTAATAACATTTTTAGCTGGAGTTCTCCTTGAAAGAAGAGTACAAGTGTTGAACAACAAATAATATTACTTTGTGGAAGAATGCAGATTATGTTGTAAGAGATTTTCTATGTCATTTACAGCATTTAGTATGCAAGCTAAATGTAAAAATCAATAGAACACCTTTAAAGATCAGAATGAACGGTAATAAATATTTTAACAGGGTTAGTCACAAAAGGGTGAAGAGTTAGGAGAAGGCAGGAGAAGGCAACAATCCAGGACAACATAGCTGTACTGTCCTGAAAGCCCCATGTCTTATCTGATCTTGGAGGCTCAGCAGAGTCAGGCCTGTTTAGTACTTGGATGGTAGACTGCCTGGGAATACCAGGTGCTGTAGGCCTTTTTTTTCAATTGCTCTATTATGTTCTCACCCTGCCTTCAACCACAAGTTGAAGAGGTTGCTTTGAGGCAAGGTTTGCTGCCTATGGCTGCATCACCCTGAAAGCATGTGAGCTTGTCTGATCTTGAGAGCTAAGCAGCATTTGGCCTGGTTAGTGCTTGGATGGGAGACCATCTAGGAATACCAGGTACTATAAGCTTTTCTTTCAATTGCTTTCCTACCTTCTCACCAGGTTTTCAACCATTAGCTGAAGAGGTTGTGTTGTGTTGTGTTGTGTTGAGGGTAGGGTTGTTGCCTTTGGTTATATTACACTGAAAGCCCCATGTCTTATCTGATCTTGGAGGCTCAGCAGAGTCAGGCCTGTTTAGTACTTGGATGTGAGACTGCATGGGAATACCAGGTGCTGTAGGCCACTTTTTTAAGTTTTAGAGGTTGCTTGAGGTCAAGTTTGCTACATATGGCTGCATCACACTGAAAGTGTGTGATCTTGTCTAAGCTAAGCAGCATTTGGCCTGGTTAGTACTTGGATGGGAGACCATCTAGGATTACCAAGTACTACAAGCTTTTTTTTCAATTGCTCTCGACAAGTCTTCAACCACAAGTTGAAAAGGTTGGTTCGAGGATAAGATTATTGCCTACGGCCACATCGCACTGAAGTTGCCTGATCTTGGAGGCTAAGCAGGGTCAGACTTGCTTAGTATTTGATTTGAACACCACCTGAAAATAGCAGGAGCTGTAGGCTTTTTTTTTTTCAATTGTTTTCCTACCTTCTTGTCAGGTCATCAACCACAAGTTGAAGAGGTTGCTTTGAGAGCAGGGTTGTCGCCTTTTTTTAAATAAAGGAGTAAATTGTGTGGGTGTATTTTTTTTACATTGTACTTTTTTTGAGATTGAAGGGGTGCCGTGCATTTGGGGTGCCATTAAAATGAATGGTACCACAATGCACCTCCTGCACCAGAATTTGTCAGGTTGAAACCGAAAATTACTTTTTCCCCACCTTTCTAAAAATTTTGTAATAATTGTATGTATTATGTATTGCTTGTAGCGCGATCGTCGTTTATTTTTATGTAGGTGCACCCGACTTTGCGCGCGTTCGCAGGGGACTTTAAATACAATTAAAAACGAAGTTAAATTTTTTTGGTATTTTTATTTACATTGTTTTAATTAACTTCATTGCTATGATATGGGGAGGGGGTGTTTGCTCACAAGCCCCCAATGTAATAGCAGATTGAAGATGACAGGTTCTCTTTAGGGTGACCCCTGCTGAGGCAGCTGAATGTAAACACAGCAGGCAGTGGGTGGGTGCAATAGCCAGCTTGGTATTGGCGAAGGGTGTGGGGGGAGCGAGGGGGGGGTTGATGATTGGGGTTTAGAGCTCTCCTCACCACTGGGCAGCAGCAGGCATTGGAGGGAACACAGAGCCCATGGAACACTGGCTCCCTCTCTCTGTATACACACAACATCTATGGAATATATACCCTACATTTATGGCGGGATTCTTTTATGATTTTGTTTTAGTCAAATATTGCTCTAAAGTAATAACAAAATGGTGTCTATTTTACAGTTCCACAATGTCATACGTTCTCATTTGAACTGTGTGTATGTTTTGTAAATAGATGACACTTTATGGAATGTGGTTCCTAAATTGTAATATACAGTATTTAGCGGCATTCGGCTATTCAATCACTGCTGTTCGGCATCTATAAGAATAGACTGAACAGCAGCGAGTAGCCTGCCGGAGGTTCGGCTTAGCCGATCCAGATGTTGGATCGGCTGAGTCGAACTCCTTTTCCCATAGTGATGGTATTACTGCTGCTGCTATAACTGAAAGCTTCCTGTGAGGTTGCGATGAAGCCAGCGAGTCACTGGCATCCTAGCAACCAATGAGGAATCCCAACCCAGCCCATTTAGCTGGGGAATTCCCAGCCAGCAGCTGAATGTAAACAAAGGGACAGGGATTCTGGCTGACATCAATGACCAAATTAGGTAAATGACATTTGCCAACATTCCCACCCTTATATTCAGGGCTGTCTTTAATATTAAGTGCACCCTGGGCAAGATTTTGCTGATGGGCCCCATCAACCCGCCCACCTCCATTACCTGCCCCCCGACTTCCTGACCCAGATCCCCTGTATCCACATACATCACCTTCCCCAGAAACTAAAGAATAAAAACATATATGTATGTGTGTATAGACTCAGGACTCTGCACCGCAATAAACTCAGGACTCTGCACCACAATGGACTCAGGACTCTGCACCGCAATGGACTCAAAACTCTGCAATGCAATGGACTCAGGACTCTGCGCTATGTAGAATGCATATATTGAAAATGCAATGCACCATGCAGCAAGTGTTCGGGTACATGCAATGTAAATGCAATATGGATTTTACTAATTTAACCACATACTGGTACATTTGTTCTGAACTACTTGTTAAATCATACAATACGATATCAATTAAAAATCGTATTGTATGATTGATCAAGTAGTACAGAACGAATGTAGCACTACGTGGTTATATCAGTAAAATCGGTATTGCATTTACATTGCATGTGTCCGAACACTTGCTGCATGGTGCATTGCATTTTTAACAAATACCTCCATATATAGTATATGTAGAATGCATATGTTGCAAATGCTGTACACCCTGCAGCATTTGTGCCGGATCATGCAATGTAAATGCAATAACGATTTTACTAATATAACCATGTATTGGTACCAGGGACGTAACTAGAAATCACAGGGCCACATAGCAAACATTTTGTATGGGGCCCTGTGATTTCTAGTTATG